AGAAGAAATTGCAAAAATGAAACATGGCAGTGAGTAGTTTTGATCTACTGGCATTTGAATTATGAACTCAACGCGCTATTACTGCGCCACATTGCATATACTTGTTCCGGAGTGAATGACACAAGGTTGTTTTATCTTCAATTGCGCAACATTTATCGACTAAATTTAGACCATCTAATTTGATTAGTTTTGCTTCATCAATGCTTTTTGACCTTGTTAGAAATTTGTAATTGAACAGAGATAATGTACTTATTTCTTAACATAAACATCATTCAGATCAAAATCTCATATGCTAATAACCTATTGTTATCCAATTAAATGAATGGAGTGTTCTGTTTGGATTTATCGTTTGACCATAGAACTAAAACCAATGAGAACAATTATAGACAAAATCTGTTAGGTTATGAACAATGATTACTGAAAGAGTTCATTTATTCAATATTAATGATAATTAGTAATGGTAAGCAGAGTTTCTAATGTATTTTATGTTTGTTATCACTATTAATACATGACGATGTCATTTCTACACAAGTTATAAACATATAAATTTGAAAAGTCTATGATTAACTGTAATTTTTATCTATTTTGACCAACATGGAAGACAATTGAGGGACTCTTTCAAAAATTTATCGAAATTTTTTTCTTATATTTTTTAAAGATGAATACAAATAATATACTGTTCGAAAAATACAGATTCATATTTTTCAAAAGAAATATTGCTAATGTTATTTTCATCAAAGTTTAGAACATATAGAAATACCTGCTAAATCCATAGCTCCATATATTGTTGTTTTGCCTCATTTGAGTCTTAACTATGACATGCTACTATTAATTTTTATATTCTTGATTGAATATATTCTGTACTGTTGATTATAAATTACAACATAGATATTTATACTTGTTGACTTGTAGATATTAGTTGAATACAATCTTCGACAGCTATATGTGTATACGTATATATAGTTATGAAAAATCTGATGAAACATTGTATTTGATAGATATAGTTATTGAGCTTAATTCTTTTTATGGTTTTCAAGGAAATTTTTAGTAGATATGAAATGCACTCGTTTTTTGTTTAGATGAATGAATTGAAGTAGCAATTTTTTTCGTAAAGAATCTTCTATATTTTTTCATTTTGATTTCTAAAAATCGTGCATTAAAAATTTCTTTTTTTGGATCTTCTTTTTTATTTAGGCGCAAAATGGAAACAAGTTGAATTGGCCATTACTGAAGAAAATTATTCAAATCAACTCTCAGATCTTTCAGATTTATTTATTGATGATGATCAAATGATTTTATCGTTGATTGAGACAATCATCGTACTATCAAGTGTAAATCCAATACTACAAAAAGTCAGACTATGCCAGATAGGGATAGAGAAGAAAGGTAAACTAATCAATTGTTTTATCCAACAGATGCATTTATTGATCACTCAAATGTGTAATAAACGACTATTGATGAGTATGACATCTATCATGCCAATGTGTCCTTCGCGGTTCCATTTAGCCAATTCTTCCATTCATTTGAGAGTAATCGACTATATATATAAAAGGTCGTTTTAGTATGTGCCCATAGCCAGATGAATCATCGGATCAATATCCAATATACGTATGGGAGGGCGCCACATCTCTAGACACTTTTTTCTAAGTCAATATGCAGAATTTTTGAGCTTAAGGGGACCCCCTTTCCGGCGTTTCTAAGAAACGGTCGAACGAAAATTCCTGAAACTTTCAGGGTGGATAGACCTCGAGTAGTAGAGCAAAAGTTGTCCTAGACACAAATTTGCCAGACGTCATCTTCATGGGCTTCCAGAGACCCCAAGGTCAAAAAGTTCCCCCCCCCCCGCAAATCCACTGATTTCATCTGGTTGAGCTGAAATTTTTACTGTGGGTAGACGGACCCAATCGGTGTGGGCTTTTCTTTTTCAAAAATTCCAAATACTTCAGGTTGGAGAACCAAAATACTGAGGACTTCGCAAAATCTCTAGGTTTTTTGGATCCTGAAAATTTTGCGAAGCCTGCTAAACTTGATTGGTAGAAGGTATCCAAAAAAAACAAAACGCCCAACCCAAATCACTTGAAGTCTCATCAAAAAAATTTTCAGCCCGATCGGACTTGAAATGGCGGAGAAAAAGGGGGAAAACTGGTTTTTGATACTCAAACAACTAGTTTCGAGAAAAATGCTATAGCACACATAGAGGGAACCTTGATACACCTCTATATGAAAAAAAAATCGAAAAAAAAACTTTTTGGCTTGGGAAACGGGGAGGGTCCCCTTAAGTAATGTAAATAAATTAGGCAGGTGTTAGTTTGTCTAACCTTAGTGCAAATTTTTAAAAATTTACTCAATAAAACGATATACATTAAAAGATGTCGCTACAATCTCGCATTTTATGATGTTTTTGTAATTACATGACACTTTAAAAAAAACCAAAAACACAGTTCGATAGGGAAAAAAATTTCTCTCTCTATTGATATTATTGCCATATCTAGCTCATCCTGAAAAATCAACTGACCAATGATTCAACACTTGCTATTGTTTCGCTTATTTCACTATAGTTTGTTGGATAACAGCACGTACCATTCATCAAATCAAACATCTATAGTTATGCATTGTTCTATTTTTTGTAATATACTTTCCTTTTCTTTGAACGTTGTCATACATTTGCATGAATAATCTGTACTTTAGATTTGATTTATTCAAAATACTTTATCAAATTGAAATTTTAGTTTTATCTTCATTCAATAGTTCATAATTAACTGTTATACCATATATAGTTCATCTTGGTTTTGTAAATATTGAGGAATGATTAATATTTGACGAATTGATGATTTATCAGCATAATGTATATTCAATTTGTTATTGAAGATCTGCTTTATCTATTCTAGATAATTCACTATAACCTATCTATTTCTATCTGAATATCTTTTAGAATATTGGAAACAAAAAATGTAGCCTTATATCAACTTGTTCACAACAACATATCGAAATGCCAATAATTGTTCATTTCGATAGTCAAGGTGATTGGCGTGCTGGCTGTTATGCTGTTTTAATAGTGCTACTCATTTTTATGCAATGCGAGCATATCTTTATTCTGGAAAAATCTCAGAAATCAGTTTTCATGTTGCAGATGCCAAATGTAACATCAGTTCAATCACATCTATATTGTGGTATATCATATGATCATTGTCACTGCTCTATCATTTCAGTGAAACACCGTCTTACTGATGAGCAGATTAAGAGTGGTCGAATCTTACCATTAGGTTTATTTGTATTACAGATTTACCTTATTCGAGAACTTGTTTCGTTAAGTAGGGACTATACATTTTCTTTCGTCTATAGCATATGGATCATTTGCTTGTTGATTTTCATCGGTATTCTAGCTATCGTTTATCGATATACTTGTTTTTATTCGCATACAGCTACAATTCTTTGCATGACGGGTAATTTCCTATCTACTTTCGTTCTTGTGGCATTTGCTTATGATAACCACCGTAGAGATCCTCTGCGACAACGTTACTATAGTTAATGGTCAAAAATCTGAAAAGATTTATAATGAAGTTCTATTCTGAACAAAAAGTGCTTTAATCAATACAGATTGTTCTTCTAATATGACTTATTCTTTCGTGTGCACTTTTCAATTGTATATAGTGTATATTGCTTTTTGTACTGATAATGAAAGCTTTATTCTTTTTCCGTCTATCTTTTTTCGAATAATTATTGTGTTAAATATGTTCCTTTTTTTTATTTCTTGTACTTGGTAGATTACATTGTTTTGTTTTTGATTGTATAATGACGTATTTAAAAAAAAAAGTAACTCTTAAAATTTATTTTGCAAAAAAACATGAACCGGAATAATCAACAATTTTGCATTTTGAAATTAGGATCAAGAATAATAGTCGTTCTTTTTCGTGATAATAACATAAATATACGTTGTAATAAAATTATTTGAGTAAAAAAATGAAGACAGATTATTGATCAAATAATTGAAAATATTGTTGTTATGAAAAGCTTTAAAGTTAAAAATAAATAATTCTTAAATTTCATTATCTTATGATGAGGACATAAATTTCAAGCGTATAGATGGAAGAAAGAGTTCCGCGAAAAACAAAGCATGAAAGAAATATCAATTTGATTTACATAATTTTTTTTATCTCATTTTGTAGTGATTACTATGTATGGCGAAAAATGACATTTATGATGCTTGCTGCTTTCATTAGCTTATACAGTCTTCTCGTACATATTAAAACTCTAACAAAAACAAATATCTTAAAAATCAAGTACCTGGTGAATATTTTTGCAATTTTCTACCTGCTCAACATCTGTTCTGTTTTTTGTGGTTCTATTGGATTTGGCGCACCTCACATGCCAGCATTTGTAGCATCAATTGGTATTTTTGAAATTTTATGTGCAATACTAATCCTTAAGCATAAACATATGGTTTCCTGGTTTGAAAAGTTTTTATAATTGCATCTATATTTGGTGTAACATTATTTGATATAATCTACTTTTATTTTTTTCTCATCCTGAAAACATAATCGAACGATATTTTCAAGATAAACTGATGATTCAATTATTCTAACAGTTCTTAGTCCATGAATATCTTCATTATCAAATGAATCTTTTTGTTTAAATGAAGATGTGACAATATTAATTGTTATTTATTCAGATAGATCTACTTGTATATGAAATCTACAAACTGGTGGAATTCTTTCCTATCAATAAACATATGTAGACTAAATCAAGTCATGTTTGGTGTTTATTAATAATTAATGAACAAACATTTTTATTAGGTTGTTCAAATAATCAAATAGAAATTTATTGAAATAATATCAAATCTGAAAAAAATATTTCATATGAAGATAATCTTGGTGGTACAACACATCTTAGTCATGCATCATCAACTGTTATTCTTTCTATAACACATTATGATTATTTAATAGTATTTGATTATATCAATAACATTGTAAAACAACTTTATATCAAAAGATTACATTCAAATGTCAATACGTGTTTGTAAAATTAATTTAAATTCATTATTTGTATTTACTGATAGTGATGATTGTATGATAAAAATAACAAATATTTTGAATTGGATATGTTTATATACTTTGCATAAACATCAAGCTCCTATCAATACTCTTTCTATTGATCCTGTCAGTTACTTTTTAATTTAATTATATTAAATCAATTTGGATAATTCAGTATCAGGCAACAACATTAATAAGTGGTTGTTATAATGGAACATTATGTTCATGGGATAATGATTGTTTGAAACAGATACATGTCAATGCGCATCCATCCTCAATAATAATTGATATAAATATCAGTGATCATTCATCGACTAAACGATAAACATTTTTGTATATGGACATATAAAACACTTGAATTAACTTATGAATTTTTTGATATAATATCGAATTGGTTTTTAATACAATCTACAAATTATTCATTTTTATATTCAATCAAATTCTATTTATACCTATGATTACATATCATCAAACAAAACTTTCTCTTCAATATTTTCTTATTCCATTACTTAATGATCATAAAATCAATATGGGTGGATGTGGGTGGGGTGTGGGTGTGGGTATGGGTGTGGGTGTGGGGTGTGAGTGTTGATCTAATGGGTACCTACCCACACCCACACCCCACCCTCTTTTTATTTCATTCAATAGTGATATGGAACAAGACGGTAACAGAAATGAATAGTCTGGATTGATGACCGATTTTCGTATCACTATTAAATGAAATAAAAAGAACGGACTAGTCTATGTTTTTTGTTTTTGTTTCTTTATAAATGTTTGTGAGTATATATATATCATGCGCAAGATTCGTCATGCGTAACTTTCTCGTGCGCATCTTTCCGTGCGCAACTTTCTCGTGCGCAACTTTCTCGTGCGCATCTTTCGTAGACCCGAAACAATAGCTATAATTGTGTTCTTGATAGCTGCAAGAAGCATATATGAAAGTTATTTCGTATGTATATATACGTTGAGGTGTTCCCAAAAAAACGGCCTGCATCTCCATACTTTTCATAAGTAAAAAGATTTTAACTGTTACCTCACCGTTTTCGACGACCTTACGTCTAACTAGCCTATTAAAATTGAAAAAAAAAATTTTTTCTTGAAAGTGGTAGAAACTCCACGGATTCACCCATTTATTCATCTAATACTGAATTATTAATTCTTTGACATTCAAATCTAATCAATGTAATGCATTTTCCAGAAAGATTTTTCTTCTCCGATGATTTCTTGTTTTTTTTTCTGTGATATCTCTTTTTTTCATTGAAACAAACGTTCGGTGTATTTTTTGATATCTGACAATGATTATGCCTATACTCTAGATTGTATACGGCTATCATTTAAGTGGTCAGTAAAATAAATGAAATGGTCAGTAAAAGAATATATAAATGATCAGTAGAAATATTGAATTGTCAGTAGTATGACGGTCAGTACTTAATTAAAAAATAGTCAGTAATTAATCATAAAATGGTCAGATTTCTATATACAACTATCAGTAAAAATTTCAAATTTGATCAGTAAAAGTGCAGATTTTATTAGTAGAAGAAATAGCTCTATTCATATAAAGATTAATTTATATAAGAAAAATAAACTAAAATAAATAGAAAAAAACGAATGAGTAACTAAGAAGAAATCCAAAAGGTCATTATATGGAAATTCAAAGAATAAAAGCAAAAAAGAAAATGAAAATTCAATTACAATACTAGCAATATAGGTTTAGCCTTTACTAGTCTACCTCTGTTTTCTTTTCTCATTGATCCAGACGGTTTTTTTTTGCTAGTGGTTTACAATATTTCAAATGAACAGACACATCTACAATGTGTTTGCATATGCAGTTCTTCAAAAAAACCTAAACAGTTGCATTTGATGTTTTCCAAGCTGAGTCATGTTTCATTTCCAAACACTAAATATTAGATGATTTTTGTATTGAATAAAAGTTGTCAATTTTTTTATTTATATATTTATTTAAATCGACTTATGTAATCGATTGTAAATGACTAGCTCGAATTCAATATTATTCTGAAGCATCATTTGGAAGGCCAACTAAGTTTTTTGTTGATTTAGCTCATTGATAGGATAAAGTCTACAATTCTGAAGATATTGTTGATTCTGTAACAAATATTTTGCATTAATTGAAGAAGAGTCTCGTCCAGTTCACCAACTATCGGCAATATTTGAAGCAATTGCCAAAAATCTCCATAAAACATGACATTCTCTAATTATTTCATCATTTTTGTTTCTTTTATTAATTGCCTCTAAGGCGTTGTTTACACGGGTGAGGTGATAGTATAACACATTTCGCTGTTTATACTTACCATTTAAATTAATTTACTGACCTTTAAACATATTAACGAACCAGTTATTTTAATAACTGACCATTTAAATAATTTACTGATCATTCATTTTTTACTGACCATTCATTTATTCTACTGATCATTTCATTTATTTTACTGACCATAAATTATATTCCCATTGTATACATATATAGATGTTTTTACTTTCGATTTTTTTCTTCGAA